TAGATAGATAGATAGATCGATCGACCGATCGATAGATAGACAGACAGATAGATAGATAGATAGATAGATAGATAGATAGATAGATAGGTAGATAGATAGGTAGGTAGATATATAGATAGATAGATGAATAGACTTACTCGCCAAAACTCTCTTCTGCTCGCACATTTTCGCTGGGTGGCCTTCCTGGCAAATCAAGCTCAATACCTTTCCTCTCACTGTAGTACCAGAACAAGTTATGCAGGCCCACCATGAAGGCCAGGATAACCAAAGTGAATAACGCCAAAAACTTGGCGATATCCTATGCAAGCAAAAGGTCGATAAATAAACAATTAGAATTCAAGGTAAAATGATGAAAAGAGAACCATAAAAGGCACATTTATTACTATTTTGGTAACTACTTTGTAGAGATATATAATTTCTGTGAAGGAAAACGAACGAGTTTGATGTAAGGAAACAGAAGGACAAAGGGGGAGAAGAACGTGGAGAAATTTCCTTTTTCATGATATTATGGTTAGACTGAAGAGAAAAGGGGGGATAATGTAGGTGTTTTTACACCCTCATCGACACAATTTAGATCATTTAGGAGGTGGGCATCGGAACCTTTCTGTCCGGGTCAAAAAGGAATACATCCCAGCAAAAAGACCGAAATACTTAATAAAAATCCCCTCTCCACTCGGGAATCGAACTCGGGTGTCCTGTGTGCGACAGAGGAGCACCTAACCGCTACACCACAGACGCCATTGAGGAGAGGGGAGAGGAGATGGATGACAGAGAACAACAGCATAAAACAATAGACAGGCCGTAGGAAGAAAGTGGTAGGACAAAGGAGCATTTTAGTGGAAACATGTCAATACTGATGGTTTGATGAAGAAACCTACTACTATTAATGTATGAGATGTCAAAATGTAGTTGTAACAGCAGTAGTTAAATGTCCCATAAACTTAGTAGCAGCACTGCTGAGGTAACAGTTGCAGCAGTAGTAGCAGCGAGAATAATATTGATGGTGATAATGGTTATGAAAGAAAAAAAAAGAAACATAATTTACTGAAAAAACCCCCAGCAGGGAATTAAATAATAAATGTACAGAGTCAGGCAATAATTGAATAAATAAATAAATATGAAATGTGAGAGTATACAAACAAATAGGCATTTCAGCAGACAAAAACTTTTTAAAATGTTCAGATAAAAGCATTGAATATGTATTAATCAAGAGCGCAATGGCTTCGCAGGCTGCGCAAGTTTGGATGCCAACGCCGCTATTGCTGAGGCTAGCGCGGTTTCTTCAAGCTTGTCAAATAAGCAAAAAATTACTCCCATTTTTAATTTGTTTTGATTATTCTTATGCTTATCATTTATACTTATTTTTTGTTGTTGTTGTATGTTTCAGATCTTCAATTGTTGGCCATGGTCTGATTTCTTTTAGTTAATTTTTTTTCAATGAATATTTGCTCATTCTGTACTACGATGAGTGTCTCCATTTTAAATATTTGAAGAAATTTACAACGGGCAAAAATGTCCCTCAGAAAAAAATGAAAGGTTTTATCAGAAAAATTCGATTACTATTTTGTTTGCACTCGTCAACAGCCTGGGTAAGGAAAAACCCAGGCAAGCAAATACCTGCAGTTATTCTAAAACACCTCATTTTGTGATTTGGGGTATTTTGGGGTATTTTGGGGTATTTTGGGGAATTCGATTATTCAAGATTTCAAGAATTGCAATATGATGTTCTTACAGTTACACCATTTTTGCCCCGAAATGCAGCAACAAAAGAGAGCAGAGCAGAAGAACAGTACGATAATAATAAAAAATTTCATCTTTATTGGAACGTTCAATCCCAGGCTTACTAGAAAAGATCGATTCCTCAGGATGAAATAGTTCAACGACTTGAGCAAAAGATAATGCAACTTAAACAGTAATATGATCATAACTATTGGTAGGCAGTATGTTAGTGAAGCAGCACTGACGAACAAAGACTCCCCCCCACCCCCCCCCCCATCTTTTTTTATTCTTTGAAAAAAAAAAAAAAGAAAGCAACCACAAAGACGGAGGAGTGACAACAGCATTGTGCGTCTCTAGGACTAGCCTATCAAGAACTTTGATTTTCGAAACGTGCTTTCAAAATCAAAGAACACAGGGTGTTCCCATCTGAGAAATGTTAATAATGGTGGATAGCATTTGTATAACGAAAATTCAGCTCAACAGCAAGATCTATGCGCTTTACAATCTATATTATCCCCCCCCCCCCAAAAAAAAAGACCCGATAGCATTCTAAAACAACCTCAACTTCCTGGGAAGCATACAGTGCAAGCTGCCATATTTGTATAGCTGCCATATCTTTATAGGCGCTAACCCCCCCCCCCCCCAAAAAAAAACAAAAAAACAACAAAAAACAAACAAACAACTGACAAGACCTTTCGCTGTCTAAGGCTGAGTACTCATTCTCCCCTAAACAAAGAGAGGAAACTTCGCTTAAAGTCCCTTTCCCAAATGCACAACGTCGGGCTAGGAGCTAGAACCCGCAACCTCACAAGTCTTGTCACTGTGCCACCTTGTCTGTACCGGCGGGCTGCATTCAAGATTTTTAAAATTGTTACTGTTTTTGGTAAAAGAAGACATGAACTACTTTTGACGACCTAAAACAATATAATTTAGACCACCGTCAGTGCCTGTTTAAGAACGTTTTACTTGTTTGTACACGTGGTTGAAAGTGGGAATTGCATCGTTCCATTCAACGTTGTGTGAAATTAAATCTCGCCCCCCGCCCCCTCAATTCTTAAGATATTATGTTACATCGTCCTTCACACATGACATCTTTCAAGTTAAATGTGGTCCAACTGAGAGTAGATACCCCGAATATAGTAATATGTAGTAGGTCAAGTAAGTTCAGAATGGAGGAGAACAAACGTTTACTTTGACCTAACCCCGTTGCATTCTCTGTCTACATCCCATTTTGCATTGCTCTTCGTCGTTCATTAAGAGACTTTACTTTGTTTTCACTTTCGTATTTTGATGATATTTAACACCCCTTTCAATATACAATGTTAACGAAAGAGTAAGAACCTCTATTTTAAAGCATATCAATAATAACAACGCCCTGAAAAGTGGATAGAAACCCACAAAAACTCTGAATTTGATCAAGAATTCCCCAGATCACCAGTATCGCAGGTCAGCACGACACTCACAGAGGTAATAGCCAAACCAGCACGATACCCATTGAGGTAATAGCACTCTTGACAGATCTGGGGGCAATTGCACGTCAGCACGATAATCTCTGAAGTAATAGCCCGCCAGCATGATACCCATTGAGCTAACAGAGTGCAAGCTATTCGCTGCAAATGCCTCCATACTTTAAAATAATATAAAATTATCATTTAATGTTTCAGTTACAAAATTGGAGTCTTCGCTTTTCCTGCCAGTGGCGTCGCAATGCAAAGAACAGCGAGCAACTTTCGCGCGAAACAACCAATGAAACTGCTGTTTGAGGCGTGCGACAAGAATGGTGTGCTCGCTTGGAAGGCGCACATTCCTGGGAGGTTGTGAGGAGAGGAGTCCGCGGAAAGGGTGAGGAAAGGATGAGGGAAAACCTCGGGCAGTGGGCAGAAACACAGTCAGCAGAAACAGAAATGTGACATCGTATCAGTGTCAAAGTAGATAGATGTGGGGGTACGGTGACCAGTATATAGCAGAAAGAGATCCAACTTGCACACCAGAGTAGTGCAACAGTAAGCTCAAGAACATCAGATAATTTGTCGAAATGAGAGTTTAGAATGCGGATGGGGAGTTTTGTGGTTAGAGTCACAAATGAACGCATTAATTCTTCTGTTTTTCAAACTTACTTTTTAACCTCGAAATCTGACTGTTTACTGCCATAATCAATATTTCGTAAAACTTATAAAAAATGGAGTTTGTTTTTTATACGGATAAAAGGTAACGATATCGATAACACTGTAATAACAAACTGATCCTGAAACAAGAAATATCTGATTGATGCAAAATTTGAAAGGAGTGCAAACATGCTGAAGTTAATTTTGTGTTTAAATCCTTCGACGATATATTCACTTTTGACAACTTAGGCCTACTTATAAATCCCGCTTGAGGCTCAAAATGAAGATCGCAAAGAAGATACAGAAACGAATAAGGTGATATAAAGTATTGCTTTTCAGCGATATAATGGGTGAGTAAAATACAAGCGAAAACATAGTTTGTTTAAAAAGTTAGGAATTTCAGTTGCGGATGAGTCAAAGCAAGTGATTACAGCCCCAAGAGGTGAATCATGCTGAAACATCATGAAAACCTCATCGGTACACTATTCTGGGCCACAATGAAAGTTAAGTTGGTGATTAAACTTAACAGGTTGTATTTTTTGCAGCCAAATGGTGATTCGTATTTTCCTCTTTCTTGGCTCATTTACAATGTGCTCCAGGTGTTCTATTCATTCCATGCATATTACTAAATGGCAGAGCAAGAATATTTAAGAAAGTAAAACAAAACTCTTTTCGTACTTGAACAAATATAATTTATTGATTTAGTTGTAGTTGCAGCTAAGGGTTATATCATTCACTTTGTCCTTTATTAGCACTTTTAAAAATCCACTTTCAACCGCCGAGGTATCTTCAGCTGGTTTAGCGCGGATATAGATCTAGAAGCAATATATTGACCCTACAATAATTGAGTCACAAAAGATAAGGCTGATATTGTGGACACCTGTTTTCTTCCCTACGCTCCTTTAACTTTACTCCTTCCACAAATAGATAAAAAGTCAACTTGTGTTTAGCTTTTACAATATACTATGGATCGTCTTCAAAGTAAAACAATAGCGGTACTACAAAATCAGAGAAGTTTACATCTCAACTAAATAAGGTAAAAACCGTTGTAAACAGATTACAAGTAGGTCGTAAATTGCAAAATCAAATAAACCTTTCAAAACTGCCCTCATGAAGCACGTATTTCTTTTCAGGCATCACGAACAATAAACTTGGGATGCAGGCATTACGGCAAATAGCTTTCAGGGTTAGAGTCTAAGACTAATACTCTGTTGGCTATTTGAAGTAAACGATTAAATAAATTGTCAGTGTAAATGCAAGAAAGGAGAAATTAAATTGGAGCTTGTAATGCCTTAAAAAAAAATCAAGAGCGGTCTTAATATTCATTCCTCTTAGACTTGGTGCGTGATTTCTAATAATACAGCTGTATGGAAAAGTTTGAAGTCTTTAAGTAACAAATAGGTTGCTAACAAACTTGGAAGGAATTAAATTCGTAGCTTCATAGAGCCTATACTTATAGTGGACAAGATCATGTATTGCTTTAGATTGAAACTAACAGCGACAAAAGGGCAACAAGTTTGAGTTAGGCGTTCAGTTCCGACATGAGATAAACACACACATTGCAGAATTTTTGGAAACACTGGGAAATCTGTTCATTTAAATTTTGAAAAAGAAAGAAATCCTACAGAACATGGTTTAAACTTAATTTAATGTCCCAGACAGAAAGAGAAAAACAACGAAACAAGTTAATAACAGAATATTAGGAATGGTAAAGAGTTTGTTACATAACTATTTATCACATTAAATAAGAAAAACAAAATAGAGCTTGATGTTCATCTTAAAATAGTGCAAAGAAATATGATAATAAATTATTTGAGTAAAATGAGAAAGAAACAGAGACTGAGAAGTAATGTGCAATTAGTTAAATAACCACAGAAACAGCAGAAAGAAGATAGCAAAGATTGTGCGAGAAAAAAGGCAGAGACTGTAAAAACAGGCGCATGCGCCGAAAAAAAGACTGTGCGTAAAAAAAAAAAAAGATTTAAAAAAAAACCAAACTTGGCGCATCCGCCGACCCCCACCTTAAGCATGCGGCCCAGGGAAATCTGCAGGGGCCCGAGGATTTCATTGGCCGGCAAGAGGTAGGAAATGCGGGAAAAGCTGAGAATGTTCGCCATAGCAAACTGACCCTCCAATAAATTGATGGGGTCCGTCGCACTCCAGAACATGCGGTCTAGGAGGGAAGTGAGTAGAATATGGAAACATTTTGATCGCTGTGTGGAGGTAGAGGGTAAGTTCTGGATATAATACATCATGGGTATACATATATAGACATATATATGAGTAAAGCGGGAACATTGTAAGGGGGTAAAGACTGGGTCAAGACCTGAAAAAGAGGGCAAACATTGCAGCAACAATTTATGTGTAAACGAATTCATATTATATATTTTTTTTAAGTACAAGAGAAAATGTTTCTTTAAAATCTTCTAAAGTGTGGACATCTTATCGATCTCGTAAAGCAGTAGCTCTTGTTGTCTTTACAGACTGTACATGTAGAATATAGCGGCGTGTGCATGCAACAAGGTAATATGAACTTCCCATTCAATGTTCTATAAACCAAAACCAAACATTTTGAATGTTTTGGGGTTTTTTTGCATTATAGTTTGAGATCTTAACATTTTGGCTTTTCATTTTACGCGTACAACCCATCGAAGCTTAGTCTTACATTCACAAACGTAATAATGACGTATCCTTGTTACATACAACTCACGTCGGTACCGTACATTCATTTGGAAATAAAGACAGAATTAGAGGGAGAAAAGCTCAAGATAAGCGCATGCAACATATACAGAGGCAACATCAAATAGCATTAAGGTTTTTTTCTATAACAAAAGCACACACGGGAGAGGAAGTGGGGGTCTGAGGCATGCAGGGGTGTGGGTAAAGGTCAGGAAAAATCCCGCGCTTGAAGCAGTCGGATAGGCGGAGCCTCGCAGTAGACTTTAAAGAGGTGCGCCATGTCGTGCGACTCCGCTGCTGGCCAAAATGGGCGTGGCTTGCGCGTTGGCGTCCCAAACTCTACGCAAGTGGAGCTGATTGGCATGCCTTACCTTAAGCATGCGTCCGAGAGAGATCTTGAGCGGCCCCAGCGTCTCGTTTGCCGGAAGAAGGTATGAGATGCGGGAGAAGCTCAAAATATTGGCTATAGCAAACATGCCTTCCAACAAATTCATGGGCTCAAAGGATTCCCAGAAGATTCGATCTGTAAGGGAGAGATAGACACACGACCCACACTGAGCTACCCACAACACAACCACAACAGCACATCTCCACGCCATGCCACGACATGCAAACACATACCAGAGTTTTTATTAAAGCGTTTTCCTAAAACATATATCAATGCAAACACCAGGGGCGGCTCGTGGGTCTAAAAAGTGGGCGTGCACGATTAAGCTAATTTAGGCTGAAGATAATCAAGGGCAAAGTAAATGGGATGGTGTATAATGTTAGGATCTGTAGGTTGGTGAGGGAAGGCCTTGTGCTTTTATTTTCATTCATTTCACTTGTGGCTTTGACTTCTAGAACTAAATCTGTATGTTAGCTAAACGTCAATTTCATTCATTCATCCTGCATTAGAACTGAACACTCAAGTAACACCTTTCACGACTACACTACAAAACCGTTCAAAAGCACAACTCATAGGACGGCGACTTATGTATGTCACGTTCACCTCCCTCAGGTTCACGGTCACAGAGTCACTTAAAATAGCGACAAGACAATGAACCAATCACAATTCACTTGAGCACTCCGCTGGATTGCTCCGGGGCCCACATAGTTTTGGCATGGAATAGTGCACAGTCTATGGCGTTTATTTTTAGATTGCCTACTGTGGGCTATGTTTCGGTGCTATTCGGCAGGAGCACATTTGAGATGTGCCGTATTATTGATATTAATGTGCCGCCAAACTCTCTACAAGTGTCGTCATCGCTTGGGTTATCCCAAAGAGCGATTTATAGGTCAGATTTCCACTGTTGACTATCCTGTTATGTTTAGATACAGCGCATGAACTTAGGCATGGCATAGTAGATGTTTTACGGCGCTATAGAATAGAAATGACAGTTACGGCGTCAGCGAGGGCCTTGTTTTGATCTAATATTTGACAAGTATTTGTTTCTGGCGTCTTTTATTTTATTATTGTGGGTGCTTTGCGTCATAGAACATTAAAACACTTTGGGCGGCACTGCACGACCGTGCTCTATGGACGAACCGCGCCTGGCAAACACATATCTTGCCTGAACAAAGGGTGCATGCGTGAATCAACCTGTTCCTTTAAAATTCCCGATTTTCAATATCACATGTCGTCATGGCACG